TGGTTGGTCCTCCCTCCTGCGACAGCTCATCTGCTCACAGCCGTTGCTGCCCTGGGGGCCACAAGGGCCCCCCTCCTCGAATGGGCGAGCACCATCCAGAGGAAGACTCCCAGGCTGAAGTCTGGGTGCTTGCTGGAGACATGGGGGAGGGCCAGGAGCAGGGCCCCTGTCCACCCAGCCCTAGCACGGCCTGGGGCCCACTGAACACAAGTCTCCCACGCTGGGGACCACGCTGGACGAGAAGCAGGCACAGGGATCCTTCTGGGAAGTTCCCGTGCCTGAGACAAGGCACCTTCAGGTGGGCCCTGGTGTTGGGGGTGGGTCTCCGTGCCTGAGGCTGGATGCCTGTGTACTTGGTCCTGAGGCTGACGGGGTCACGCCCAGAGCCCTGGCTTCCCAGTGAACTGTGCTGGTGACGGGGAGGATACCGGTGTCGGCTATCAATTAGGAAGCACTCACTGTATGCTTCTCAAAAAGTATTCTGTTTAACAGACCCAACAACTCCGAGAGCTAAGACTCTCGCTCCCCGTTTTCAGAGGAAGAAGCGGGCGCTGAGAGGCGGAGTGGGACCCGAGGTCAAAGGGCAGACTCAGTGCCCCAACCTGGGTCTAGTGGCTGTTGAGGTTCAGCGGGGGCACAGACGCTGGAGCAAGCGGCCTGGGTCCTCAGAGAGCCCACCTGGTGTCAGGGCCGGGGGGCTTCCTCCCACTGGGCAGCCCTGCCTGTTAGCCGTGGGGCCGAGTCCAGTCACCTGCAGACTGAGGCCCCTTATCAGGGCTTTAAGAGACGATACCCGCCCTTCGCAGAGCACCAGGCCGGGCTTACACAGCGCGGGGGGGCTCGGGACCTCAGGTCCCCAGGCCGTGAGACCCCGGCAGTCCGGGATCCATCTCCTCCGGCCTCTGCTCACTGGCACCCCGCCTGCCCCTCTCCCCTCCCCTTCCCCTCCTCAGAGGCCCCCGAGCCCTGCACTCCTCTACCCGGTGCCTGGCCCCCCTCCCCGGTCCCCCCTCCCCCGGCCCCGCCCCTTCCCCTCTCTCCGGTCCCCCTCCCCCTCCCAGGTCCCCCTCCCTCCTCCCCTCCTCCCTCCCCCCAGGTCCGCCGAGCGCCCCTCCTCCCTCCCCGGTCCCCCATCCCCGGGCCCCGCCCCTTCCCCTCTCTCCGGTCCCCCTCCCCCTCCCAGGTCCCCCTCCCTCCTCCCCTCCTTCCTCCCCCCAGGTCCGCCGAGCCCCCCCCCTCCCCGGTCCCCCCTCCCCCGGCCCCGCCCCTTCCCCTCTCTCCGGTCCCCCTCCCCCCTCCCAGGTCCCCCTCCCTCCTCCCCTCCTCCCTCCCCCCAGGTCCGCCGAGCCCCCCTCCTCCCTCCCCGGTCCCCCATCGCCGGGCCCCGCCCCTTCCCCTCTCTCCGGTCCCCTTCCCCCCTCCCCGGTACCCCTCCCTCCTCCCCTCCTCCCTCCCCGGTCCCCCATCCCCCGGCCCCGCCCCTTCCCCTCTTCCCTGCTCACCTGACCCGGGCTCCGCTCCCCGGCTCCCCTGTGCCGGGTCCCCAGCCCGCGTTCCGCGCGCGCTTTCTGAACCCGGGCACCGCTTCCGGGGGCGTGGTCTCAGGCCGGAAGCGAGGCCGGCACTTCCGGCGCGGGCGGCCGGAGCGGATCTGCACTCATGGCTGGGTGAGTGGGGTTGTGAGCCAGGCGGTGGTCGCGGCGGTGCGCGCAGTCGTCGTTTACGGAGCGCCTGCTGCAAGCGTGCGGGAGGAGGAGGGGCTGCGGTGCGTCCCGGGTTCCCTCGGCGGAAAAAGGGGCGCGGACGCGGGCGTCCCGGGCGAAGTGCCTAGGAGAGGACGTCCAACGCGGAGCCAGGTGGAGGGCGGGGAAGAGCGGGGACAGGTGAGGGGCGCTGCGGGTGGAAGGTGGGGAAAAGAGTGGGGACAGGTGAGGGGCGCTGCGGGTGGAGGGCGGGGAAGAGCGGGGACAGGTGAGGGGCGCTGCGGGTGGAAGGTGGGGAAAAGAGTGGGGACAGGTGAGGGGCGCTGCGGGTGGAGGCGGGGGAAGAGTGGGGACAGGTGAGGGGCGCTGCAGGTGGAGGGCGGGGAAGAGTCGGGACGGGTGAGGGGGCGCTGCAGGTGGAGGCGGGGGAAGAGTGGGGACAGGTGAGGGGCGCTGCGGGTGGAAGGTGGGGAAAAGAGTGGGGACAGGTGAGGGGCGCTGCAGGTGGAGGGCGGGGAAGAGTCGGGACGGGTGAGGGGGCGCTGCAGGTGGAGGGCGGGGAAGAGCGGGGACAGGTGAGGGGCGCTGCGGGTGGAAGGTGGGGAAAAGAGTGGGGACAGGTGAGGGGCGCTGCGGGTGGAGGGCGGGGAAGAGCGGGGACAGGTGAGGGGCGCTGCGGGTGGAAGGTGGGGAAAAGAGTGGGGACAGGTGAGGGGCGCTGCGGGTGGAGGCGGGGGAAGAGTGGGGACAGGTGAGGGGCGCTGCAGGTGGAGGGCGGGGAAGAGTCGGGACGGGTGAGGGGGCGCTGCAGGTGGAGGCGGGGGAAGAGTGGGGACAGGTGAGGGGCGCTGCGGGTGGAAGGTGGGGAAAAGAGTGGGGACAGGTGAGGGGCGCTGCAGGTGGAGGGCGGGGAAGAGTCGGGACGGGTGAGGGGGCGCTGCAGGTGGAGGGCGGGGAAGAGCGGGGACAGGTGAGGGGCGCTGCGGGTGGAAGGTGGGGAAAAGAGTGGGGACAGGTGAGGGGCGCTGCGGGTGGAGGGCGGGGAAGAGCGGGGACAGGTGAGGGGCGCTGCGGGTGGAAGGTGGGGAAAAGAGTGGGGACAGGTGAGGGGCGCTGCAGGTGGAGGGCGGGGAAGAGTCGGGACGGGTGAGGGGGCGCTGCAGGTGGAGGGCGGGGAAGAGCGGGGACAGGTGAGGGGCGCTGCGGGTGGAAGGTGGGGAAAAGAGTGGGGACAGGTGAGGGGCGCTGCGGGTGGAGGGCGGGGAAGAGCGGGGACAGGTGAGGGGCGCTGCGGGTGGAAGGTGGGGAAAAGAGTGGGGACAGGTGAGGGGCGCTGCGGGTGGAGGCGGGGGAAGAGTGGGGACAGGTGAGGGGCGCTGCAGGTGGAGGGCGGGGAAGAGTCGGGACGGGTGAGGGGGCGCTGCAGGTGGAGGCGGGGGAAGAGTGGGGACAGGTGAGGGGCGCTGCGGGTGGAAGGTGGGGAAAAGAGTGGGGACAGGTGAGGGGCGCTGCAGGTGGAGGGCGGGGAAGAGTCGGGACGGGTGAGGGGGCGCTGCAGGTGGAGGGCGGGGAAGAGCGGGGACAGGTGAGGGGCGCTGCGGGTGGAAGGTGGGGAAAAGAGTGGGGACAGGTGAGGGGCGCTGCAGGTGGAGGGCGGGGAAGAGTCGGGACGGGTGAGGGGGCGCTGCAGGTGGAGGCGGGGGAAGAGTGGGGACAGGTGAGGGGCGCTGCAGGTGGAGGGCGGGGAAGAGTCGGGACGGGTGAGGGGGCGCTGCAGGTGGAGGCGGGGGAAGAGTGGGGACAGGTGAGGGGCGCTGCGGGTGGAAGGTGGGGAAAAGAGTGGGGACAGGTGAGGGGCGCTGCAGGTGGAGGGCGGGGAAGAGTCGGGACGGGTGAGGGGGCGCTGCAGGTGGAGGGCGGGGAAGAGCGGGGACAGGTGAGGGGCGCTGCGGGTGGAAGGTGGGGAAAAGAGTGGGGACAGGTGAGGGGCGCTGCAGGTGGAGGGCGGGGAAGAGTCGGGACGGGTGAGGGGGCGCTGCAGGTGGAGGCGGGGGAAGAGTGGGGACAGGTGAGGGGCGCTGCAGGTGGAGGGCGGGGAAGAGCGGGGACAGGTGAGGGGCGCTGCGGGTGGAAGGTGGGGAAAAGAGTGGGGACAGGTGAGGGGCGCTGCGGGTGGAGGCGGGGGAAGAGTGGGGACAGGTGAGGGGCGCTGCGGGTGGAGGCGGGGGAAGAGTGGGGACAGGTGGGCGCTGCGGGTGGAGGCGCGGGAAGAGTGGGGACAGGTGAGGGGCGCTGTGATTGGAGGCGGGGGAAGAGTGGGGACAGGTGAGGGGCGCTGCAGGTGGAGGCGGCGGAAAAGTCGGGACAGGTGAGGGGCGCTGCGGGTGGAGGCGGGGGAAGAGTGGGACAGGTGAGGGGGCGCTGCAGGTGGAAGGTGGGGAAAAGAGTCGGGACAGGTGAGGGGCGCTGCAGGTGGAAGGTGGGGAAAGAGTGGGGACAGGTGAGGGGGCGCTGCAGGTGGAAGGTGGGGAAAGAGTGGGGACAGGTGAGGGGCGCTGCAGGTGGAAGGTGGGGAAAGAGTGGGGACAGGTGAGGGGCGCTGCGGGTGGAGGGCGGGGAAGAGCGGGGACAGGTGAGGGGCGCTGCGGGTGGAAGGTGGGGAAAAGAGTGGGGACAGGTGAGGGGCGCTGCGGGTGGAGGGCGGGGAAGAGTCGGGACGGGTGAGGGGGCGCTGCAGGTGGAGGCGGGGGAAGAGTGGGGACAGGTGAGGGGCGCTGCGGGTGGAGGCGGGGGAAGAGTGGGGACAGGTGAGGGGCGCTGCGGGTGGAGGCGGGGGAAGAGTGGGGACAGGTGAGGGGCGCTGCGGGTGGAGGCGGGGGAAGAGTGGGGACAGGTGAGGGGCGCTGCAGGTGGAGGGCGGGGAAGAGCGGGGACAGGTGAGGGGCGCTGCGGGTGGAAGGTGGGGAAAAGAGTGGGGACAGGTGAGGGGCGCTGCGGGTGGAGGCGGGGGAAGAGTGGGGACAGGTGAGGGGTGCTGCGGGTGGAGGCGGGGGAAGAGTGGGGACAGGTGAGGGGCGCTGCGGGTGGAGGCGGGGGAAGAGTCGGGACAGGTGAGGGGGCGCTGCAGGTGGAAGGTGGGGAAAAGAGTCGGGACAGGTGAGGGGGCGCTGCAGGTGGAAGGTGGGGAAAAGAGTCGGGACAGGTGAGGGGCGCTGCAGGTGGAGGGCAGGGAAGAGTCGGGACGGGTGAGGGGGCGCTGCAGGTGGTGGCGGGGGAAGAGTGGGGACAGGTGAGGGGGCGCTGCAGGTGGAGGGGAAGCTTGCGAAGGGCACAGCAGGTCTGAAGGCTGTGGCACAGGGCTTCCACTAGTGGCCATGTGGCTGAATCCCAGACGTGGGTAGGCGCTGGAGGTCAGCTGCGCAGATCTGCAGGTTCAGCGTGTGTGACTCTGCTTTCCCGCCTTCCCCCAACCGTGGGAGTTGGTTCTGGTGCCCAGGAAAGCTCTGTGCTCCTTCCAGGAGACCCCTTCGGCTCTTTGAAGGCTGCGAATACAGTTGCTGTGTCCACATCTTGTCAACATGCTTTTGTTGTTGAAGGGGCTTTGGCCTGGAGCCAGGGGGATGATGGTAGGTTCTTTCCATCAGAGAAATGGATGCAGAACTTAGTTTGTAGGGTTGTGCTGAGAGTTCGTGAGGGGATGCAGGGGGAGCTCCTGGCAGTCAATAAACTTAAAAACTTGACTTTGCCAAAGAGACTTGGAAATTGTCCTTCAGCTGCTCACACAGGTAGAGTTCAGTTGTATGCGGCAGTGTGACTGGTAAGGCCCTGTGTTGGCCCCCACAGACATGGAGCTGAGTAGGGCAAGGGTCTGTCCCCGGGGGGTTCCCTTGCAGTCCCGCAGAGCCCCAGGAAAAGTTGTACCGGGTGAGCGGGAGTGTTACCTTTGTTAATGTTAATGGTACTCTTAACCAGTGCTGGAAGAAGGTGGGTTGACACAGGGAAAGTGACTCTCAGTGACGTCTGAGTCTTCCTTCCGAAGACTTCCGTGAGCGAAAGACGCTTCTTTGCTACAAGGCGACGCCTGCTCTGCTCGCTCGCCTGGGCGCGGGGAGCCAGCACCCAGGCCAGGCGGCTGGAGCAACACAAACTGCCCACTCAGTGCTGGGGGCTGCAGCCCCAGCTCAAGGTGTCGGCAGGGCTGGTTTCTCCCGAGGCCCCTCTCCTTGGCCTGTACGTGGCTGCCGTCTCCCTGTGGCCCCACCCCTGGTCCTTCCTCTGTGCACGTGTGTCCTGTGTTTGATGAAGACACCAGTCATGGATTCAGAGCCACCCATCTGGCCTCATTTAACTGAACCACCTCTTTAAAGACCAGTTCTATTTTGAGGTACCTGGGGTTAGGACTTCCACACACGGATTTGGGGAGGGACTCCGTTCACCCCATTCCGCCTGCTTTCTGGCTGGGTAGCCTTGCCAAGTCTTCTCCCCTCTCGGGCCTCCGGGCACCGTCTCTACAAACACGTGGGTTGAACCAGGGAGCCTGCCTATCTGTGTGATGCCAGCCTGTTTGCTCCCCTTTTCTGCAGCAGGTCCTTGAAGCTGATAGGCGCGTCCCTTCAGTGTCAAAGGTTTCGCACCGCTGGGAGTCACTCCAGGGGTCGGACCGGGGCTGAGCGCCTGTGGCTGATGCGCCAGCTGAAGGACCCCTTTGTGAAGGCCGCGAAGGTGGAGAGTTACCGGTGCCGAAGTGCCTTCAAGCTCCTGCAGGTGGACGAGAGGCACCGGATCCTGCGGCCCGGCCTCCGGGTGCTAGACTGTGGGGCGGCCCCCGGGGCGTGGAGCCAGGTGGCCGTGCGGAGGGTCAACGCTGCGGGCACAGGTGGGGCCTCTGACCACCCTGGGTGTGGAGGCGCAAGCCAGCTGCCCTCCACCGGAGGATTCGGGGCGGCCCAGCCACTTGGTGGCTTGTTTGGTAGTAAGAGGGGTGAAAGCGGGACACTGATGTTTTCAAAATGACGGACACGGTGCAAAGCTGTAGTGAAGATTTAAAGCACCGCAAGTCACACCGCGTCTGTGTGTCCGTCAGTGCGTCGGCGTGCCCCCTTCCAGAATTCGCTTTTGCATGCATAACTACATACGTGCATTTCCTTGTTCACAAACGCTGGTATTCCACATCCACGTTCTTCTTGCTGATTTGGAGCCTTGATGGAGCTGTTTTTTTCCACGTGCTGATATATTGACATCTTCCCACGACAGCACAGCTGCATCAACCACAGGGGTTTCCAGGTCCTGGACCTTGAAGCCCTGGGTGTCCCCGAGGTCCCGCCAGGGCTGGTCCAGGAGCACCCGTGGCTGGGGCTCTGGGTTCTCTCCTCTAGCTCAGCCTGAGGGACTCAGCTTTTGCAGTCTTGTATTTAAGGATTTCATCAAAGACTTTCTATATGGAAAATGGTTCCCCTGATTAATCAACAGGGAAGCCTGTACCCTCAATTTAGAACACCATGTTGTCCTTTTGAATGCTTGTGCAGAACTCCAGAGGACAGCTGTGCTGTTCGGCCAGCCTCCTTTCCCAGGTGTTCTGCTAGTGTGCACCCCGCGGTGCTGAGCATCCCTCCCCCTTTCTTTCCTACCCTAAAGTCGGAGGGTACCATGGTCCCTGGCATTACGTGAAATGTGCCGATTCACAAGAACCCTTCTCCGACACGCAGAATGAGGGCTCTGTGCCCGTTGTCCTAATGAAAAATGAGGTTCAGAGGAATTCGCTGATCTGCTGAGAGAGAGGCTGGGAGCGCTGCTCCCTGGGTTCACGGCTAAGACCCAGCCTCGTTACTGTGGGCGGGACGCCTCCAGCGGCTCTAGAACAGGGAGAAAAACAGTATTTGTAGCTCGGTAAACACCGCCTAAGTGAAGGCATTTGTGTCAGAGACTCCAGGTCCTTTTCCTGCCCCTGAGCCTATCCATAGACCTAACAAGTGCTTCCTGTCCCCGTAATTGCTCTTCAGGAGAAGGAGGAAAATGGCCAAGTTTAACCTGTAGGAAGAATGTGGCAGAGGCAAAGAGTGTGGATAAAATGATTGGGTTTCTTTTCCTCCCAGAAGTTGGAAAAGGCACCCAAGGCCATTTGCCTCTAGTGGACCCTCCCCAAGGTTAGAACACATGGGATATCAAAGGAAAGAAAGTCAAGTGCGTAAAATGAGATGTGGGATGTCCTCCTTTCCAGGAGTGAAAATGGCATTTTCTCCTTTGAAAAATGTACTCTGCAAAATACCTGACTTCTGGTCTTTAGCTAGGAGTAAAATGCACGTTACCCCACCATGGAACAGCCTCTCTGCTAAGCAGAGGGAACCAGCAAGTCTATGCACCCTGAACTAGTCCCCCCTGCAGAGCAGGGGCCCTCCCCGGACAGGGGACACCAGGGCCTGCTCGGGGCTGGTGAAACAGTGGCCTCTTTACTGCACCATGGGTGCCTCTCAAACCGGGGTGAGGGGTCACGTTCTGTACCTTGTCTTCCACCGGTCTCTATCCCCCATTTCTTGGCTCGTTTCTAGTAGTTTCTGCATTGAAAGAAATTGGATTAAGCTGCAGAATGGACATGTTGATTTAATGCAGAGGTACTTTATGTATTAGTGTGTCCTCTTCTGTTCTAGTTTGTCAGAAAGGCTGCTCAGAGATAAGACCCCTCACAGAGAGCAGGCCTCGGGAAGTGACATGACATCAGAGTTGGAGTCCTGTGCTCTGGGACAGGCGCTTTTCTCTGGGCCCCAGATTCCTCACATGCAGAGTGAGGCCAGCCTCTGTAGACGGATAGAGCAGGGGAAGGGCCTTGTGTCCACATCTTTCATGTTTGCTCCTGTCCTTCATCCTGACTTTTTATTTCTGTTTTTCTATTTGTATTTCTGTTTTTCTATTCGTATTTCTGAGGAATGGTTCAGAGTGTAAATAATGGACTCACCCTGTCTTCTTTAGATCCCAGTGCTCCTGTTGGCTTTGTGCTTGGGGTAGATCTTCTTCACATATTCCCCCTGGAGGGAGCAACTTTTCTGTGCCCGGCTGATGTGACTGACCCAAGAATCCTCCAGAGAATCCAAGAACTGCTTCCTGGAGGAAGAGCAGATGTGATTCTGAGTGACATGGCACCCAACGCCACAGGGATCCGGAGCCTGGATCACGACAGGCTCATTGGCTTGTGCTCATCCCTTCTGGACCTGGCTTCAGATGTCCTGCACCCTGGCGGAACATTCCTCTGCAAAACGTGGGCTGGAAGTCAAAGCCTGGCGTTACAGAAGCGACTGACAGAGCAGTTCCAGAGCACCAGGACGGTGAAACCCAGCGCCAGCAGGAAGGAGTCGTCAGAGGTGTACCTCTTGGCCACACAGTACCAAAGAGGGAAGGAGTTTGCGGAGGACTGAGGGTTTTTCCTGTGGTTTCTGAGCCTTGTTCACTGCAAGTGTCATCTGAGCTCTTGCTGGGAGTGTGGCTGGGGGGCGGGGGACGGGGTCCAGGGTTTGATCCAGGATGCAGCAGGCAGGACAAGTGGGGGGCCTTTGTTTTAAGCCAAAAAGATACAACAAAACGATATTTGCTGGCCGGGATGTATGATCAGAAATAGTCTCTAGAATGGGATTTGTGAGGCGGAGTGGAAAGGATGAAAAGACAGTGGGAAGGAGCCGGGGGCGCACAAGGGCCTTGGTGTAACCTTGATGTAACTGTCATGTCACAGTGTTCCCGTGTAACAGAGAGTCTCCACCCTTGCCACGCTGACCGACTGACCGCAACACCCAGGCTTCTCCTTGTCATTTTGCTTATACGGTGTAGCATGTGAAAACCTGAACTTTCAACCTGGGGATTAATTTCCATCTCTCTGGTGGATGATGTGTTAATCCCTTCCTCAAGTAGCGGGAGTTCCCCGCAATTAGGGAAGACATTTGGTATGAATTATGCAGGGGGCTGTCATGCTTTGTTTTATTGCTGAAACCCCGGCGGCCCCCAAGACTGGCAGTGGCCAGAGCAAGCATCCATGTGGTGTGAACATCTACTTCCTTGTGCTCTCTTCCAGGAACTCGATGCAGCTTTACAGAACGACATAGACTGTACGATTTTTAAGGGATTTCTATGCTTTTCAGTTTGTTTTCCATGCTTTTAAGTTTGTTTTTATAAAAATTGGTTTCTTCAAAGCCATTTCCTGGAGGTGTGCTCATCCCTCAAGAAAAGTGTATTGAGGGGCGCCTGGGTGGCTCAGATGGTTAAGCGTCTGCCTTGGGCTCAGGTCATGATCCCAGGGTCCTGGGATTGAGTCCCGCATCGGGCTCCCTGCTCAGTGCAGAGCCTGCTTCTCCCTCTCCCTCTGCCATTCCCTCTGCTTGTGCTCTTCTGTCTATCTCTCTGTCAAATAAATAAATAAAATCTTAAAACAAAAAAAAAAAAAAAAGAAAAGTGTATTGACCCTATTGCTGATTAAATCCCAAGGACAGGGCTGGGGGAGAGCCTAGGTAGATACGCATAATCTCCACCAGGGCCCGAGGGCTCGGTCCAGCACTCTGAAGTGGGCTGGAGGCCGGATTTAGCATTTTTTCACGTTATTTTTGGTTGGAGTCAGTTATGTCCTAGACTTCCCTGTCCTACCCCCAGCACATCCCCTGCCCCCATCCTATTTCACGCCCCCCCCCCCCCCCGGGGCAGTGCAGATCCTCCAGCCCCTCGGGGAGGGGTGTTGACCATCCAGACCCTTGGGGGGGTGTTGTGCAGACCTTTGGGGTGCAGCGCAGACCCTTCAGACCCTGGGGGGCTAGCAGACCCTCCAGACCCCGGGGGTGCGGTGCAGACCCTCCAGACCCCGGGGGTGCGGTGCAGACCCTCCAGACCCTGGGGGGAGTGGTGGTGCAGACCCTCGGGTGCTCCCTCTGGGGAAGGGGGGCAGGGAGGAGGAGGTTCATGAGGGAAGGAGACCCCTGTTACTGGACGAGGGTCTCTGGCTGTGGGAGCTCACAGGGCCCTGGGAGGATAGCCTAGCAGCAGAGTATTTTGCTTTTCCATTGAGCCCGGAGGAAAGTAAAGATGTACTAACTCCAGCCAATACTGTAGCAGAATCGGGGAGCTGTCGAGAGCCGGAAAGTTTGGCCCGAAGAGGCCACCGTTGGGCGGTGCTATTCTACACAATACGGTGAGCGGCCACCGCCCCAGTGGATGTCCGTCCCGCTGGGCGAGGCGGGCACGCCGACTGGCCCGCGGGCCGGCCTTTGGTGAGAGTCCTCCCGGCGAGGTCTCCGGGGCGCACGCGGAGCTCCCAGGGCTCGCCGGGGCGCAGACCCGGGGGTTCACGGTCGGCTCTGCCCAGATATCGCGAGAGCGCGCGGCAGGTCTCGCGACACGCGGGCGCGGGCGTGGAGGAGGGAGATCTGAGAGGCGGAGGGGATCGGCCGCGGCTCGGGTGAGCTGCCGGGCGCGGGGGGCCCCGGTGGGCGGCGGTGGGTGGCGCGCCGGGCCGGGGACGGGCTGGGCGCGGGCGCTGCCCTCTCCCCTGCCCGTTGGCCTCCTCCTCGCCGCCCTCGGTCCCTCGGAGCCGGGCCGGGGTCCGAGCCGGCTTCACTGGTGGCGGGGAGCCCGGCCGGGGTCCGAGCGGGGCCGGGGTCCGAGCGGGGCCGGGGTCCGAGCGGGGCCGGGGGCCGAGCCGGGCCGGGGGCCGAGCGGGGCCGGGGGCCGAGCGGGGCCGGGGGCCGAGCCGGGCCGGGGGCCGAGCGGGGCCGGGGGCCGAGCCGGGCCGGGGGCCGAGCGGGGCCGGGGGCCGAGCGGGGCCGGGGGCCGAGCCGGCTTCACTGGTGGCGGGGAGCCGGGCCGGGGTCCGAGCGGGGCCGGGGTCCGAGCCGGGCCGGGGGCCGAGCGGGGCCGGGGGCCGAGCCGGGCCGGGGGCCGAGCGGGGCCGGGGGCCGAGCCGGCTTCACTGGTGGCGGGGAGCCGGGCCGGGGTCCGAGCGGGGCCGGGGTCCGAGCGGGGCCGGGGTCCGAGCCGGGCCGGGGGCCGAGCGGGGCCGGGGGCCGAGCGGGGCCGGGGGCCGAGCCGGGCCGGGGGCCGAGCGGGGCCGGGGGCCGAGCCGGCTTCACTGGTGGCGGGGAGCCGGGCCGGGGTCCGAGCGGGGCCGGGGTCCGAGCGGGGCCGGGGTCCGAGCGGGGCCGGGGGCCGAGCCGGGCCGGGGGCCGAGCCGGCTTCACTGGTGGCGGGGAGCCGGGCCGGGGTCCGAGCGGGGCCGGGGTCCGAGCCGGGCCGGGGGCCGAGCGGGGCCGGGGGCCGAGCCGGGCCGGGGGCCGAGCGGGGCCGGGGGCCGAGCCGGCTTCACTGGTGGCGGGGAGCCGGGCCGGGGTCCGAGCGGGGCCGGGGTCCGAGCGGGGCCGGGGTCCGAGCCGGGCCGGGGGCCGAGCGGGGCCGGGGGCCGAGCCGGGCCGGGGGCCGAGCGGGGCCGGGGGCCGAGCCGGCTTCACTGGTGGCGGGGAGCCGGGCCGGGGTCCGAGCGGGGCCGGGGTCCGAGCGGGGCCGGGGTCCGAGCGGGGCCGGGGGCCGAGCCGGGCCGGGGGCCGAGCGGGGCCGGGGGCCGAGCGGGGCCGGGGGCCGAGCCGGCTTCACTGGTGGCGGCGGGCGGTCGGGGGTCGGAGCGGGGCCTGGGGTCTGGCGGAGCCGCCCGTGTGCCCAGAGTTTGCAGAAGTGCCGGTGCGGTGCCTGGGCCCAGAAGGGCAGCTCACAGGCAGCACGCTCTGCACACGCAGCCCAGGGGTTGTGATTTCCCGGGGTTTCGGTTTCCGCGGTTGGGGTGCTGAAGATCGGAGTCCGTTGGATGAAGAGGATGGAGTGATGGAGTCGGAGCTGCTGCCTAATCGCGTGCCTGGTGCAGGGGCTTAGTTCCAGGCAGTTGAAAACGTGTGTGTGCTCTTCATTCCAGTGGATTACACACGTCAGTTCCTCCAGGGGATGGCCTCTCCCGAACAGGACCTAGTGGCTGAGTTTCGCATTAGGGGAGGGAGAGTATGGCCCCGCTCTAATCTTGGCAGACGGAGGGGCCTGCCTTCTGGAGCTGACCTCTGCCGTCTCCTGCCGCCCGGGCCTGTATCTGCCAGGCTCTCAGCACTCGGTGCTGGTCCTGTTCTGTCTTGCAATCCGTTTTCCATCCACAGTGTGTTTGAGAGGAGCTGAGCGTAGTCGCATTGTCCGGGGTGCTGATGTGGCCCACAGGAGAAGGGCTCTGTTCTCCTCCAACAGGGATTCCGAGTGAGAGTCCTCACTTTCTTCCCCTGGGGTGTTGGCAGGGAGCTGTTTCCAATCCAGTACTTAGGGCCAGCCTTTTACCTATGCACCTGTGGGAATTCACTCCTTTGCTCATTAACTGTACCTGGGATGTTCCCCACTCACGGGCTGGCGGGCGGGCGTCAGGCCACGGTCGGTACGGGTTTGGGGATGTGGGTTCTTTTTTTTTTTTTTTTTTTTATATTTTAATTTATTAGAGAGCAAGAGAGAGAGCACAAGGTGGGGCGGGACAAGCAGACTATCCCATGAGCAGGGAGCCTGATGTGGGTTCTGGGATCATGAACTGAGCCGAAGGCAGATGCTTAACCTACGCCCAGGGGGTCCCCCTGGGGATGCCAGTTCTTTGCTGTTGCTTGTGCTCTGCCATGCACTGGCTTGTGCGGCACACTGGACTTTAGAGCCACACAGACCTGGGTTCCAGTCCGTTCTGTAACTTTCTGAAACCCCACTTTCGTGATGTGTGGAACATGTGCAGAAAGACCTAGTTGGCCCGCTGTGGAACCTGAGATGTCCTGTGTGAAGTTACAGGCAGAGTGACGAGCTGCGGTCCTGGCTGCACCCCTGCCATCTGGAAACGTATTGCTGGACTCATCCTCACAGCACCTGTGTGCGGTGGCTCTCATGAGCCCCAGTTTACAGATGAGTTTGGGCTGCCAGCTCACCGCGACCTGTGGTTACGAACGCTGGGGTATCGTAAGGACTCCGAGAGGCACTGGGAGCGTGGGGCTGCTGGTAGAGCTGATGGGGCCTGTAAAGGCTCACGGTGACCCTCCCTGTCTTCCTCCAGAAGCACAGTGGCCATGGACGACCTGGGGGAAAACACCACCGTGCTGTCCACCCTGAGGTCTTTGAACAACTTCATTTCTCAGCGGGTGGAGGCAGGGTCTGGACTGGACGCTTCCGCCTCTGCCCCAAGCTCTCTGCAGATGCAGTACCAGCAGAGCATGCAGGTGAGTGCCCTGTGGCGCGAAGGGGTCTCTGGGTAGAAGACACCTGCCCTTAGGTGGGGCCTGTTCAGGTGCCAGGTAGGTCAGGTGAGTGCCCTGTGTGTTGAGGGGTAGAGAGAAAGTAGAGAAAGATTGAGTATGTCCTGGTCTCAGACTATGTGGGGCTGTTTGCGGATCGTGGCTTCAGTCTGCCACGATGTGGCTTCTGCAGTTTTGCTATAGGAATTCTTATTTCACTTGATTTCACGTTCTTGGCAATGCTTACTGTAGACCATGAGAGAGGGGTCAGGTCTCCTGGACGACTTGAGGTTCCACAAACTTGAGGGGTCAGTCTCCTGGGGCCCCCCAGGGGTCACTGGGGCCACATGAGGAGGGGGTGGTGTGTGCAGCTTGGCCCTGGCCCCTGCCAGTCCGCACGGCTGCCGCGTCAGGCAGCTGCAGCCCCCCGCTCGTGCAGCTGGGGCCGGTCCTCGGTAACGGCCTGTGGCTCTGGGAGCCCTGCAGAGGCCCAGGCAACACTGGTTAAACAAATGCTCCTGTGTTTGCATGCGTTCATTTGCTATTGAATAAATAATTGAATGATTTTGTTTGTTCAGTGGACTGAGTTGCTCACTGCCATTTTTTGGCAAAGACTTTTTATTCCGAAATTGGATCTTTTGTGTTTGTTTTTGGTGTTAAAGCACTTGTTTTGGAAATAATGGTGGTAATTTTTTGTTTTGCTTTTGATTCTTGCTCACTGGCAAAATAAGAAGTTGGCAATTTGGTCTAAAAACGTGTTGTAACCTTGTTGATGCAAATGTTTGGGAACTTTTGGCCAGTCTGTCGGAACTATAGAATCTAGAATTTCCCGGTTCTCACTAAGCTGGTGCTGTGGAGGGCCTCCTCCGTGTGGGGGATCCCGTAGGCAGAGTGAGCTGGTCAGAGTCTTACAGCTGCAAGACCTGTCAGGGCCCTGACCGGGCCCTGTGCTGTCTCGGCACTTCCGGCAGTGGTTTGGTGCCCTGCCAAGCTGCCCCGAACGGCAGGTGGGGGAACTGGGATCCCACAGGTCTGGAGAGTCTGGCAGTCCCCGCCCCCTTGCCCTTTTTTTTAATGCTTGTGTTTCTGTGGGAAAGTGTTTACAGGGGCTCTGCTCCATGTCAGTGTTGGTTTAAATAGAAACATGTTTCAGTTACTTTCCCTCAAATGCAGTCTGTGGGCCAGGAAGATGTGGCCACGGACCGCCTCTCTGGGGCTCCTGGCCGCTGTGCAGTAGGGCCCACGGGAGCTGGGGGCCGTCCTTTGGAGTGGCTGGGCCCTCGCTGCCCGCCGAGACTGGGAAGGCCGGTGAGTTTGATGAGGGTGGACTTCGGAACCCCCACACTCCAGCTGGTGCGAACTGAAATGAGAGAAAATGCCAGAGGATAAAGAAAGTGTGGACTCGGGCCCTCAAAGATGTGTGAGGGGGCGGGTAGAGAAGGTGCCTTTCCTCTGGCCTGGGATTTCTCAGCCTTGGTACTGCCGGCATTTGGGGCTGGAGAATTCTTTGTTTTGCAGCACTTGCTTCTGCCTTATGGGATGTTAAGGGACATCCCTGGCCTCTGCCCACTGGATGCTGGTAGCAAACACATGCTCCCACCCCCTCTTTTGACAGTCAGCAGTGTTTCCAGATGTTGCCAGGTGTCCCTGGTGGAACTGAGAACCCCTCGCTCTAGCCCGTGCTTCTCAAACTTCGGTGTGCGTATGAATCCCGGAGGCTATGTGTAAAGGAGGTTTCTGATGTGGCGTCTCTGGGTGCAGCCTGAGGTTCTGCATTTCTTTTTACTGCCCGGGGGCTGCTGTGTTACCAGCCATTCCTAGAACGCTCAGGCTCTAGTCCACGCGAGGACGATGCCCTAACACGGTCAGTGGTTCTGCGGAACTGTTTGGTGTGTCTTCTGAGGCCCTTCAAGGCTAGACCTACCCTCTGTGGTAGGCCGACTCCTCAGATGGCTCTTAAGTCCCTGGCCCCTGGTGGACCACACTTTCTCCCACTTAAACACTAACGTGGTTTTGTGGCAGCAGGATTTTGCCAGCATAATTAAGAAATCAGTCGACCTGAAGATGGTGGGCCTGACTTACTCAGAGTGGGAGAGGGATTCTGCATGTGGGGGGTTCTCTCTTGCTGGTTTTGGAGGTGGAGAGGGCCACATGGCAAGGGATGTGGGTGGCTTCTAGGACCTGGCAGCAGCCTGGGGCTGACAGCAAGGAAGCGGGACCTTAGTCCTTCAGCCGTGTGAGTGTGAAAGAGGATCCTGAGGTCCAGATGAGTTTAGAACCTGGCCACCAGTGTTGATTTTAGCCTGTGAGACCCTGATCGGACAACCTGGCCATGTGTGCCCGGCCTTCTGTGCATAGAACCTGACTGATAACATGGGGTTTTAGCTGCTGAGTTTGTGGTAATTTTCTACACGGCAATAGGAAACCAACATGCCCTCTTTTCTAGAACAAGCCTACACATTGTCATCTGAAAGTATACCTTTCTCTTCCTGTTATTATTTCCTCTTTGTTTACTGCCTCTCCCCACCCATTTTCCAACGAAGGGCCCAGCATCCATCCTTCTTCCCCAGGGCTGAGTATGGGCCTTGTTGGAGGCAGGTGCTTGGTGTGAGTGTCGGACAAGCCGCTCACCTATTTGGTACCGCTGCTGAGGGTTCTCTTCCCCTTGGGTGTGACCTGGTCAGCTGGAGGAACGAGCGGAGCGGATCCGTTCCAAGTCCCAGGTCGTCCAGGTGGAGCGGGAGAAGATGCAGATGGAGCTGAGCCACAAGAGAGCTCGAGTGGAGCTGGAGCGGGCGGCCAGCACCAGTGCCAGGCGCTATGAGGTGGGTGCGAGCAGGAGCACGGTGCCCGCCAGGCCCTGAGGCAGGCAAGCCTCCGGCATGGAGCCTGGGGGCTCTGCCTCTGGGTTGCGGGGGACGGCCTGGTTCGGCCATAGCCAGCAGCTATGCTTGATGTCCTTGAGGGGGGCAGTGCACGGGGGGACGGCTGTCTGCGCGCATGCCTCTCTGCTGGGCTGCCTGTTCTCCCTGCCACCCCCACCCCAGCCCCCACTTCCCCCTGCCCCGAAGACTTGGGGTGTAAATCCAGCAGAAATACGAGGTACCACAGGATGACAGGCGTAGAAAGTCACCGGGTTGTGTAAAGGTCTCAGGCCCAGGCCGGACCAATCTTGCTCACGTGATTATAGGGCCTCAGAGCAAGGATCTCCAGTCTTGGGGGTACTTCCTGTTGTCCCTGGCTTACTCAGGGCAGACTGGGCAAATGCAACCCCCCATTACCTAGGGAAGGTACTAGGCTTTTACTGAGGGCATAGATCCCTTTTTTTGCTTCGATCAACAGCACTTTGCCAGAGGTTTTCAATGAGTGCTCATGATTTGTGGAAATGCTGCCAAGACTTAGGCAAAGCATTGGACCGGCATGTCTCTGACCTGCCTGCGCTTTCCCCAAGGGTGGATGTCTGGCCCCATTCTTGCCTTATGTGGCACATTTGCACGTTTTCCTAGTCCTGTAAAAATAGCGGATGTCTTCCGGGGTGTGATGCTGGTGGATGTATTCGACCCTGGTATGCAGGCTTCTGGCTGTGGTGTGCCGTGTGGGCCTAGTAGCCCAGGAACATGGCCTACGAGTGGGTCCCACGGCCTTGGCATTGCTCTGGTGTTGCTCCCAGGGCTTCCTCCTAAGGTGGGGCTTTAGCTGGTGTTCTGGGTCGTCCTAGGAGGGACAGTCCTGGAGGAACTAGTGGGAAGGGACAGGGAGAGGCCGTGGGAATCTTGCTGCTCTTAAAAGTGCGTCATTAGGGCCAAAGGTGGCACCAGGGGCCATCAGGTAGTAGGAAGTGGGGTGTTGGTGCTACTACCCTGACTCTCGGGCAGATGGCAGGGGGTATGGAGCCACTGGAATTTTCCTGAGCCATTAGTCCATCAAGGGCCAGACCTGTCCTGGCTGCCTTGGGTCTCCAGGGTGCAGTGCAGGCCGCGGCACCTTAAAGGTGCTTAGAATGCATTGGAACGAGTTGGGGGGTTTGTCTCACGGTTGGTGGAAGTCTTTTCTGGGGGAAATCAAAGCGTACAGGGCTGAGCTAATCCCAGGTCCTCGCTGGGCTTGGCCTCCCTCTGAGAGGCCTTTCCCTTCCCACCCACAGACATAGTTGAATGTGATCTGGAACCATCTGAGCCAGTGGCTTTCAAATTGTCCCTTTGCGTCTTGGACATGTGTCATGGTTTTTCAGGGACTTCCAGTTTGGCCACGGGTGGAGATCTCAGAACCTCTCAGATGGTGAAACTTTGGTTGGTGTCTGAGGTCTGGGGACCTGCAGCGACTGCCTGTGTGAACTTGGGATGGGCAGCCTGGGTAGAGATGCCATGTGCCGCTCTGGGGTGCGGCTGCCAGGGGCCCTGCGTTGTGGAAGGGTCCCCCGACTCTTTGAGGCCAGACTTGCAGCCCCCTCGAGCGGGCCGTGTCCCTCTGTGTTCATCAGGTCCTCCGTGGTGCTGGGCTGGAGAGGCCTGGTCTGAGCGCTTGCCTCGGGTGTGCTGCTGGGCCTTCTGCAGCACCGCCTCCCAGGGAGAGGCCAGAGGTCAGCAGCATCAGGTGCCCACTTGGTGGTCCCTTTGCTTCTGGGGCTGAGGGTGAGCTCCTAAGTGGCTGACTGCCATCTCCGGAGACCACCGGGTCCATCAGAGTGAGGAGTCTCAGTCCTGGGGCTGCCTTCCCAGCATAAGACGCACGGTGGTTCTGCAGGTCTGTGGGAGAAGACGTGCCTGGAGGGGCCTGGCCTCTGGTGGTGTGAGCGGGGCCTGCTGCGTGGCTGGCACCGGTGTAGGAGGGGTCCCCGTCCTGAGGGAGGGGTGGGGTGGGCCTCCCGGCTCCCACTTACTCTCCCCACTCTGGCAGCGCGAGGTGGATCGCAACCAGGAGCTCCTGACGCGCATTCGGCAGCTGCAGGAGCGGGAGGCCGAGGCGGAGGAGAAGATGAAGGAGCAGCTGGAGCGCCATAGGCTGTGTAAGCAGAGCCTGGACGCCGCCAGCCAGAAGCTGCGGGAGAAGGAGGACGGCCTGGCTGCCGCCGGCGAGGTGAGGATTGTCCCAGGGGTGTCGTTTCTCGAGAGAGAGGCGTAGGTGCCCTGGGGTGCTCCTACCACGGTGCTGGGCGGTTTCCTCCGCCTCCTTGCCGTGTGTGTGCAGTGTTTGCATTGTCGTAATCCTAGTAAAAATACTCCTTTTCCACTCTGTGGCCTTCAGTTCATAAATCAAACACTTAGTCTTTGTAATTGTGTGTTTTAGTGGTTGAATAGTGTGCATTTCGTCGTATAAAAACTTTGCTTACGTGCATGCGTCCTGGTAGATGTATGTACATGCACACACATGCGGCAGGTTGCACGTGGCTTTTGACTTCTGTTACTGATGTTGACATACTCCTGGGAGTGGGGTTTCAGGTCTCTGGGGACAGCGTCTGGCTTTTGCTACCAGTGCCATGTTGTCCTGGCGCCGTTGTTGAGGGCTCTGGGTTCCCTGTGGCCTTACCTGTCACGGATGGTGGTATCTTCTGGAAGTACTTGTGGGTTTTTTTTCCCCCTTCCCAAAGGTGTAGTGTTGCCCCTGGATTTGCATTTCTTTGGTTATTAGCAGGTCTGTTAGTATTTGAGAACGTCTTTGGAGGCAGCGCATACGTGAACTGTAGTTCTTACTGTCTCTACCAGTTGAAAGTTGTATGAATCTTAGAAACAGAGCCCAGACATGGATGCTGGTGGAAACTGGACTCTCCTGACCTTCCCCGTCCCTTTGCTGCGGTGCTGCGGATCACAGGTGCAGTGAGGAAAAGGATGAAGCACTGCCCGGGGAGGGAGCAGGGCACGAGATCATTGGTATTCTGTCTCTGCGTGCTTTTCTCGACTTGATAGATCTCGGGAAGCAGGCTGCAGGTTATTTTTGCCTTGGCAACGCTGGAGAGGATGTTAAGGTTGTTCCTACATCTGTCTTCTGATGTGGATGTTGGCAGGAGAGGAGCTGTGATCGGCCTCAAGACAAGTCCCCTTGCTGCCCTTGGCTTGCCTAGGCTGCGTTCTGGAGGCTGGTGTGGGGCCCGTGGGGGAGGGCGGGGCCTGCGCTCTGTTCAGTGAAGAGCGAGGTCGGGGGAGACCCTTGCCACACAGGTTTCAAAGAGGATGAGAGAGGGGCCAGGGTGGGAAGGTGGCGGCCAGTCAGGATGGAGGACCCTGAATTTTGTTTGTTATTTGTACCTCCTTGGAGAAGCCTTCCCTGGTGACTCCATCATCACTGCCCCTGCATGCGCTCTCCCCACCGTGCCTGGGTCGTATGCTCGTCCCCGGGAAGTCCTCCTGCTGACCGCCGGGCTTTCCCGCAGCCGGGTCCTGTGTGCGTTAATTGGATTCAGGAAGACTTCTCAAAGGTCGTTTTCCTAGTTAAATGTATTTTAGGCTCCATTCTTCTGTGATGCGCGGGTTGATAGGCACCCTTGTAACAGAGCAGGTGGATGGAGTAAGGGATGTGGACGGCCTGTGTCAGCCTCCCCTGGGGAACGTGGGTCCTGGGTTGGTGTGGGCCCCCGGGCCATGTGAGAGCGTGTCAGGCCTCCTTGTTGGCAGGGGTTGCCCTGGGACTGCTGGTGTCCCTCACTGTGGGGCGTTTGCTGGACCGGGTCCCTGTCCTCTGGTCCAGGAGGTTAATTTACAGGGATGCTTCTGAGTGGGCTTCCCTGGTGGCCTGATTGGCTGGCTTCTCCTGGGAAAGCCATAGAGGGAGAGCGGTCACCAGATGGTCACTGGGAGGTCACCTGGTGGGGGTGCAGTCTGATGGAAGGGCAGCAGGTCTGCCCCTGAAAGTCCAGAGGCTTGGCCCTGGGCCGGCCTCCCCAGCCCCGGCTTTCTGGCTGAGGGCATGCCTGCGCTTTCCCCAGGGGTGGATGTTTGGCCCCGTTCTTGCCTTCTGGCCGAGGCATTCCCGTGGCTCCTCCGTCCTCGGGGGGCTCCCGTAGCATCGTTCTGAAGACGGCCTCAGTCCTGCATTTCTGATTTCTTGGCAGGACGTGCTTGTGGTTCCCAGGGAGTGTTTAGCTGGGATGGGGGCATGGTGGGGCCTCATTCGGGGCAGGTGTGGTGCGGGGAGCCACACAAGCACACTGGGCACAAGCGAGGGTCCCAAGTGACAGATATCATGGGGCGGCCTCTCGGCAGGCAGCCCATCCCCATGACCCAGTCTTTTCCCATTTGCTTGAGGGAAGCGCGAGGCCGGCCGCAGGCCAGGATACTCTGGCGTTGGGTTGAGGTGTGGCGTCCCCGCCCAGGTCGTGGGTCGGAAGGGAGAAGAGGGCTCGGTCCCTGCCCACAGGAGGGGGTGGCAGGTGCAGGCTCTTTTGGGGCCATTTGTCCTGTGGGCTTGTGGGTCAGGAGCTCACCTCTGTGTGTGCGTCACAGCCCGTAAGCAGCAGCCGTGTCCCCCCCTTCAGACCATCAGCGCGCTGAAGGCGAGGGTCTCCGAGTTGCAGTGGAGCGTGATGAACCAGGAGATGCAGGTGAAGAGCCTGGAGTCTGAGAGGCAGGAGCTCAAGGAGCAGCTGGCCTTGCAGCACAAGTGAGTGGCTGCGCTGGGGTGGGGCCCTGCCCCTTTGCCGGGTGAGCCTGCCCGCGGGTCGCCCTGGGTCCGGTCAGGCTGAAGCCTGCTGGGGCATGTGCCGGGCTGCGCGTCCGGTGGTTCCTGGTGTGGGAGACCGTGAACAGGAAGGCCTTGGCTCGTCATCCTGTGCCCTCTGCGGTCTGTGCACCCAGTGTTCACGCGCGCCGTCTGTGCCGAGCCCCGAGGACCTACAGGTGCCCTTAGGGTCTGTCCTCCCCGTCCATAGGCTGTTGGCTGCAGACACAGGGACCACTGAAGTGAGGGTGAGGAGTGTTTTAAATGTTCTGAGGACAACAGCAGGGAGCAGTCATTTCTTCCCTCCCTGGGGGCTGGGCCCCCTGCTCGCAGAGAGCTTCTCCAGAAGTGAGGCTTTAAGGGCTGTGTGGGGCGCCCCTGGGGCGGGTGGGGTGTGGGCCGGAGGGGCCGTACAGGCGGAGGCCACCTTCTGAGCAGGCATGGAAGTCTGAAAGGTCAGAGGGCGGAGTTCTGTCCCTGGGATCTCGGCCTTTACCTTCGCAGGTGTCGTCCTAGGAGAGCTCTGGACGCTCCTGGGTAGGGTTGGGGGCGTGGGGGGGTCACGGGAGGGGCCTCGGCTGCGGCCGTTCCAGGGGTGTGCAGCGGAGGCGAGGGAAGAGAGCTGGGGGTGTGACCCGAGGAGACCGAGGCCCCAGTGCCCTGGGGTTTGGGGGGTGCACACTGGAGAGCCTCTAGGGTGAGGGTAACTGCTGGCTTTACTACCCACCTCTATCTGCACGCGATGTGCTTTTCTCTCGATAGGAAATGTCAGGAGGCTAATCAGAAGGTTCAGGAGCTCCAGGCCAGCCAGGAAGCGAGGGCCGACCAGGAGCAGAGGATCAGGGTGCGTTACTCCGTCTCAGGCGCAGGCTGTGTCTGGTGGACATCCCGGTGGTGGTCTCAGCCATCCAGCTGCTTTAGCCGGGGCACGCTTCGGGTGTCCGGGGACCGTGAGCTGCCCGTGCCCACGTACTGTGGACACTGTCGCTTGTCTCTGTGTGTGCCGTGCTCGGGGCTGGGGCTGCTGCCCCCCACCTCCCCCCAGCGTTGCTTCCCTGTCAGGCCTCGGCCTCCTGGACCCCCCGCCTCTGCTCTCCCACGTGCCGTTCTCTGGCCGTGGTGCCCGCCCGGCTCTGGCACCTCCCCGCTGTGCAGCCCGCTGGCCCGCCTCCCGCAGCGGGCTTGCCTGCACGGCGCAGTGTCTGCCCTTCTCCCAGACTTACCTGTGTCCTGTGTTGCCCTGGCCCCGCTGCTTGGCCTGCACGGGGCGCAGAGCTGCACCTCTTAATGTCTGTGGACTCACTGACTTGGTCCTGGTCTCACGCGCTGAGCTTGTTCCTTGACTTGTCGCTGACGGATGCCAGCTGTCCCCAGTGTGTCTCGAGGGGACTGCAGGTCGTGAAGGAAAGGCTTTCGTCCGCAACGTGCAGAAGACTCGCTTGTTATGCGGGGTCTAGTGTGGCTGGAGCGGGTCTGGCAGGGGAGGAGTGCTGTGTTGGACCGACGTGCTTATTCAGGGAGCCTTGGCTGCCTGTCCTTGGGCAGGTGTGTGCCAGGGCCTCGCGCCCGAGGGCGGCGCAGCACCGAGGTGTGACCCCGGCCTGTAGTGCCACGTCGGGGTGCCCCTGGAAGGGAACGCGGAGGACGCCGCACAGAGGCACCCCTGGTGTTTTGGAGCGGGGCCGGGCCATGGGGGTCGACTTTTTCCTCTCTGTCCCTGGCCTCCCTCAGGATCTGGAGCAGAAGCTGTCCCTGCAGGAACAGGATGCTGCGGTCGTGAAGAATATGAAGTCTGAGCTGGTGCGGCTGCCCAAGATGGAGAGGGAGCTGAAGCAGCTGCGGGAGGAGAGCGCCTACCTGCGGTGAGGCAGGCAGGGCGGGGTGCAGGGCAGGGCCGGCCATGCCAGGCTGCCCTCCCCCTCCTTCCTCCTTCCCTCCCTCCCCCGTCCCCAGGTGCCCGTTGACAGACATGTTTCCGGCCTTGCCAGGGAGATGCGAGAGACCAATGGGCTGCTCAGGGAGGAGGTGGAGGGGCTGCGGCGGCGGCTGGGACGGCAGGAGAAGATGCAGGAGAGTCTGGTCGTCCTGGAGCTGGAGAAGGAGGTGGGGCCCCGGGGACAGTGGGCTGTTCCCTGTGGGTGTCCTCTGTCTGTCCGGGGGACCCTGGGTGTTTCAGTCCAGTGTTCCAGTCCCCCTCCTGAAACGTGGAAGTGCTGGGCTGCTGGAGGCCTGAACAGTGGCCCCAGAACTGTGCCCGGCCTCCTGGGCAGGCCCTCGTGAGCCAGCCCGTGGTGGGGAGACTCGGCTGGGGAGTGCAGTGGCCCGGGGTCAGGCATCCTCGCATGGGCAGGGGACGCGTGGGGGAGTCAGAGAGGTGTCATGTGGGGAGGACCCAACCCCCCCGCTGCTCTGGTGTGGGAGACGGAGGAGGGCCTCTAGAAGCTGGAGAGGGCTGGAAATGGCTTCTTCCCAAGAGCCTCCAGAAGGAGCTGTGAGCGCGTGTGTTGTGTTCTCAGCCGTCCGGCGGAAACGCGAGAGCTGATACAGGTAGTGAGTCAGAGAGAGGAGGCGGTGTGGAAAACCCGACCCCAGCCTGGTTCCCACCCGCAGCTGTGAGCAGGTGCCCGGGCTCCATTTCTCCTGCTCCTGGACTCCCCGTGGCGGTCTGTGGGGCCATGTGGCACAGCTGGCCGCAGGACTTGGTGCTGCAAGCATCCCGCTTCTCCCGCGTGCGCGTGCGGGGGCGCGGAAGCTCTGTCTCAGCCAGGGCACACAAGTGACGCCGCCACTCGGCCTTGCTCTCCTCCTCCTAAGCCACGGGCCTCTGTTGTTTCCTGGGTAATGGGGCTGTGCTGGCGGCTGCCTGCTCTTGGCCAGACAGGCCGCCTCTGGCCGCGCAGGGCGGGAGCCAGGCTCCTCTAGGATGCTGGCTTCCGTACGGACTTAGCCTGAAGACACAGCTCCAGACAGAGCAGTGTCTCCTCTCAGCACTTCTGAAATTGGTTAAGATTCTGTCTCCAGAGTCACACTGCCTCGCGTGAAATCCCGCCATGGATGCTTGGTGGCTGTGTGACCCTGGGCAGGTGACTCAGCCTCTCTGTCTGCCTGTATAATGAGGAAGAGCAGTGTCTGCCTCGCAGGGTCAGGAGGGCTCAGTGAATTCACGTCCCGTGCTTAAACAGTGCCTGGCCCTTGGGGATGGTCACTGAACATCGGCTCCAGCGACAGAGTCGTTAACCAGCCGTGCCCCGCATGTGATAGGCCGTCCGGTGACGGAGTGAATGCAGTGATGCGAGCAGGGCGCTTGGCCTGGGCAAGGGGTGGGGGGAGGCCAGACAGAGGCACGTGGTCCTTGCCCTCACATTGCTTGCATTCTGGAAGAGGTGGGGGAAACTCTGACGTGGGATGTGGGTCAGAGTGTGGCCAGGCAGGCGATGTCCCCACCTCCTGTTCTGCCTGTGGGGCCCCGGGCCCGAGTCGGCCATGTCAGCTGGGGGTAGTTTGGCTCTAAGGCCAAATGTGTCTACCCTGGGGCCCGGCGTCCTGTGGAGCCCCTGGAACGTGGGAGAGGCAGCGGGTTCTTGTGGTTTCAGCGCCCAGGTCTGCCCTGGGGCGCGGGCTGTTTTTATGGGACCACGCATGCGGCTGTTTACCACCCTTGTCCCTACTCCCCGGTGCTTTCCCTGCTGAGACTCTTACCTGACTCGGTGGGACCGCGAACAAATGAGGCCGAGCGTGCTCGTGGTGGGCGTAAGCTGTCTGCTCCGGGGTGGACTCGGGGCGCTTCGGCCTTTAGCTCAGAGATAAGAGCAGGCTGTTCTGAGGGATCAGGGAGACTTAACATCCTCCTCATCGCTGTTGCCTTTGCGTGAGGCTCTTTGGTCTGGGGCCTGAGGTGGGGTTGCGTGAAGAAGGGCAGCAGGCGGCCGCGGAGGCCTCGGAAGGGAGATGCTGGGGTCGCGGTGCTCTTAGCATTCACCTCCTTGTCTTTCCAGAGGCTGCTGGCAAAGCTGCAGAGCTGGGAGCGGCTGGAGCAGACCACGGGCTTGAGCATCAGGTAGGCGGAGGGCGCCACTGACCCCACGGCCCTGCCTCCCCGGCGTCGCCAGCAGCCGCCCTGCTCGAGGCTGCCGGGGCGGCTCCTGCTGGGGCCGCTCACGTCGGGTGAGGTACTTCCGCCATGGCGGGGACGGGCCCGAAGTGACTCTCCTGCCGAAGTCTGAGCAACTTCCTCACGTAAGGTCGGTGGCCGAGTGTCGGCAGGGATCTGATTGCCTTGCGCCGTCGGGCTTTGCGAAGGGACTCCGTGTATGCTCAGGGAGCAGTTGCGTTTGGGGCAGGCCATTCCTTTTAGGCAAACACAACCGAGATGAACTGAGTTTTGGGGAGAAAAGGGGAGGTGCCATCGTGGAGGATTGTTGTGCCCGTCTGGCCCCCGCAGCAGCCTGGGACCCTCTGTGTCAAGCTGTTGCCAGCAGGGGAGCGGCCGGATGCAGGGGGGCTGTGGTGGGGGCTGCCGGGCAGGGAGCTGGCCTCTCGTTCTCCGCTGGGGAGGATGGCCAGGGCAGGCATCTTTCCGCCGCTCCCTGCCCACAGTCCCACACGTTCTGCCGCCCATCCTTCTGGGGGCCCCTTTCCCTCTTTCTCCAGCGTTGCTGCCTGTCCCTCGGTCCCCAGGACTCTGGGCTCCACTGCGGACTCCCCCTTCCCCGCAGCTCTGTCAGTGTCTGGTGGGTCCAGCCTGGGAGAGGGGTGGCGGAAGGTCGATCGTCCGGGCTGAGTCCTTGGAGCTTTGGTGTTTCAAGAGCCTTTTGTCTTCCTGCTTGTGTGACTTTAAGCCTGTAGCTTCTCAGTTGTGTTTCGTGCTGCTCCTGGAAACTGGGCCAAGATTGAGAACTTTCTTTAGAGAGGTGTCCTGCGATGACACGTCCTGCTGCTGGTTCTGGGACCTGCGGTGGTTCCGCCCAGCATTATTCGCGCGTGAGCCGCACCCGCAGGACCCAGGCTCGTGTTGGGCCGGCCCAGCGCGGGGGCCTGAGTGTTCTGTGCTTCCTCCTGCTCTCTGCGCTCATTAACTCACCGGAAGGCTTCCCTCCTGCTCCCAGGGAGGCTGGTCAGAAGAGAAACCTCCGTGACTTCTTTCTCTGCGGGAGACCAGAGGCCCACACGCGCCCGATCAGCCCAGCCGCCGGCGTGTCTGAACGCCCAGTGTGTGCCACAAAGCTCTCACCATCGGTCAGGCCCGGGGCTGGGGCACGGCTGGCCGCCGTCTCTGGCCCGGATGGAAATGCGCTACTCCTCCAGCCCTTCGGTCTCACTTCCAACCAGAGGGCCTTCTGTGAGTGTGGCTGGTGTGCAGGGAGCTGACCGCCTGGTCACCTGCTTGTGCGTCTGTGTGTCGTGTGTTCAACGGGTGGCCGGGCCCGGGAGAGGGAGAGGAAGGGGGTGGTTGAGGGCTGTCAGACGTGAGGGGTCGGGGTCGGGGGTAGGAGAGGGGACTGTGTAGAGCAGAGCTGGTGTCCCTGCCGGCCCCTGGTGAGTGTGTCCCCTTCAGGTCTGTGCAGGGAACGCAGTGCGGGCCTCGCCGTGTGTGTGAAGATGAGCACGCTCACGCGCTGTGGAGCGGGGCCCGTGTCCCTTCTGAGCAGCCGGAGGCTTCTCGAGAAGCAGGTGGAGCACCCTTGTGGTCCTGGTCTCCTGGCACCCCGTGGTGAGGGGCTCCTGTAGGGGGGCAGGTTTTCTTTCACGTGCTTTGTCAGCCTGTCCGCGGTCCCTCCCGGGGGCACTTTGGAAACCCCGGCTCCTCTACCCCTCCTGTCCCCGGTAGGGTGATTGGCAGGCTTCGCCTCTGGCCACTCCGCCCCCTGAAGCGAGTATGTGTGTAGTGTAACATGGGTGTGTGGCCTGTTGCCAGAGCCCTGTGGAGAGTTGGGTATGAACGCAGACTCCCCAGGCCCGGTGGGTCAGCCTGCCGGGCCCCGGACTGGAGTCTTGCACGACCTTGAGTGCTGTGAGGAGGAGTTTGGCTCTCCTTTTTTTGCTAGGTTTTGGGCAGTTAGAGATTTCTGAGCAGGGAGGGTGACTTGTAGGAGCCCACATCTGGTGAAATTGAATAGGGGGTGGGAAACGTGCTGAGGGAAACAGGGCACAGGGAAAAGCTGGGGTCCCTGCAGGAGGGGCGTGGGAGGGAAGGGTGAGCACCGGTCATGAGCTCTGAGACTGCTGTCTGGGTGGCTGGGTCTGCCTGGAGTGGTCCAGGATGGATGCCCTCTGTCAGCCTGGCCATGTTCAGTGTGGCAGGGGACGAGAGGCCTGGCTCAGACCCTACTCACCAAGGGCTAGAGGTGTGTCTGGCCCCAGCTTGGCCCTCATGTGTTGGGTGGGTGGCTTGTGCCTCATCTTCCACATCTGTTCGTGGAAGGGCTTTTTAGAACATTGCTTCCTCCCCATGGAAACATGTTCGTGTGTGGGTGTGTCCTGGTTCGGGGGCCCGCCCCCCCCCCCAAAGCGTTATCAGCCAGCTCTGGGAGATGGCCGTGGGTTGGAGTCCAGCAGATGCCCTCCAAGTAGGAGCTGGAGGGGCAGGGAGGGCCTTTTGACCCGGCGGGCTCGAGTCTCTTGGCCTTGAGGCCAAAGTGTTGCTGTCACCTTGGGACTGAAGGCATGTCACTTGGCGTGTGTTGTGACTGCAGGCCCTGGCCCGCGTCGCAGGTCTCCTGGGCTTTGAGGGCTGCTGCCGCTAGGTGGCACCCCCTCCCCCGTGATCCTGATCCCTGCACCTCTAGAGCAGTGGGGTCCCGTGGGTTTCGGGCCCCACACCTGCAGCCTGCGGCTCCTCCTGGTCCTCTGCTGCTCTGTGTGGGACTCGTGTGCTATGGCCGCGGCCCAGAGGAGCAGGGCTGTGGGGTCTGTGGCCTTACGGTCCTGTGCACCTGGGGGCGGCTGGCCGGCCCCCGCTGGCTGTCCCACACCCACTCTGTTCTTGACCAGCCTCTTTGTGATCCTTAAATACCTGCAGTCTCTGAGTTTCTGGTGTTTCAGACCAGATATTCTCTGCACGGGCTGTCCTCCATGCGCAGGGCTGTGGCTTTCCGCAGATTCTCCGAGGGCCCTGTGGCCTTGCAGAGGTTGGGAACAGAGAGCAGGTCTGACACGTGGAGAGACCAGAACTCCTTGAAGTTCACACGGCATGACTCTTGTCACCCTTCTCTCAGTTTGGGATTTCTCAGGCCCCGAGGAGCCCAGAGGTGTCAGGAGAGTTGGGTGGAGTTGGACGGGGCAGGTCAGGCAGTGTAAACTAGTAGGGAAGGCCCTTGGCTATTTCCTCCCCTGCCAGGCAGGCCTGTCTACCCAGACGTTGCTGGACACCTGTCTCCAGCATGCAGGTCATCTGGTTGGAGGCAGTCGGGCCTTGGGACTTGGAGAGTCCTGGGTGGGAGGGATGCTGCACTAGGCTGGGTGGGGTGCCGTGCACCCGGGGGAGGCTGCAGTGTGGAGGAGGGTGCGTGGGTGTGGTTCTTGGATGTCCTCATCCCAGGGCTTTGAAAGCTGAGTGAGGAACTCAGCAGCAGCCCACAGAGAGTGCCCGGGTACGGACAGCTTTGCCCTGGGAGCGTGGCCTGGTGGGGAAGGATTTGAAGGTGCTGACTCTCTGTGTCGGTGTCAGCCTGGATGTGACTGTCTGGGGCACCGGAGAAGGACTAACAGAGGGGCGGGAGGGGGTGGGGGCAGACGGAGCAGAAGGGAGCACCTGCAGCAACATAAGGGTGCCTCCCCTCAGAGCACTGGTTCGTGTGACTACTTTAATAGAGGGGAACACACGTGACCATCTCCATAGACGCAGAAGCATTAGTGAGAGCTCAACACCCTTGCGCGAGGAAGACCTCTGAGCAAAGCTGGAGTGGAAGGGGCCCCTCAGGCGCGGCGCCTGCGAGCCCTGCAGCTTGCAAGCCCTCTCCCCAGTCCTCGTCGGTGGCGGTGGTGGTGCGGGCCAGGGCAGAGGTGGGAGAGAGGAAGAAAGGCGTGCAGCTGGAAGGAAGAAAAGCTGCCTCTGGTTCGAGACAAGACAATCATCCGCATAGGAAATCCCAAGGACTCTGTAAAGAGCCATTTGGAATCGGTAAGTCTGACAGGCCCCCGGTTACAAAGACAACACACAAAGGCGGACTGAATTTCTGCGTACTGGCAGCCAGCAATTGGAAGTACACGCCCCTGACTGTAGCCTCAGAATCGTGAAATACTTGGGGATAAATTCGACGAAAATCTGTATGTTGTCAAGTGTAAGTTCTTCCTGAGAGATACCGTGCTCGCAGATTGGAGGAGTTCATGTTGTTGAGATGCCAGTTTGCTAAAATTGGTCCATACATCCAGTGCAATCCCAGCCAAAGTCCCAGCAGGCTTTTTTGGTAGAAACCAACAGACTGATCCTGAAATTTTGTAGACTTGTTTTTGAAAAAAAACCAAGGGCTTACAGAGGTTGATTTCAAGACACGCTGTAAACCGTATCAGTCAAGGCTGTGTGGTAATGGCGTTAAGGATAGACGTATATGTCAATGGAAAAGACTAGGAAGTTCAGGAATAATTCAAGAACATAGAGTCTGTTGGTTTCTGTGGAGATGAGATAATTCAGCAGGAGAGTCAGTCTTCCACAAACGGTGCTGATGCGTTAGGATGTCTGTATGGTCAGGTGCGTGTTTTCGTGTCTTACCGTTCCAGCATTGAACCAGTGGGCGGGCACCTACCTGGGGTGAAAACCCAGACTTCTGGAAGGTTAGGACACAAAAGCATGAACCAAAAATGCAGAAAATTGGTAACTTAGAGTTCCCCAAAATGAAAAAATACCTTTGCTCTTGGAAAGAACAATTAAGACAAAGAAGAGGCAGACCCTCTTCTAGGAGGGAGAAAGTATTTGCAGTGCGTACATAGGCCTGACGGAAGATTCCTATCCAGGATTTGTGAAGAATTCTTCCAAGTGAAGAAGACAATGGCCAGTTTTTAAAGCTGGGCAGAAGACGTCTAACAGAAAACTTTACAGAAGAGGGTCCGCGGACGGGAATA